ATCCAGCCGTGAAGACTTGCCTGACCTGCGAGGCCTCCCTGTGCCAAGCCCACCTGAGCAAGCACAGCACAAAGAACACCCAGAAGAACCACGTCCTGGTGGAGCCCTGTGGTGCCCAGGTTTTGGCTGAGAGGAAATGCCCCCAGCACGGCAAATTGCTGGAATGCTACTGCGAGACGGACAAGGTCTGCATCTGCATGCTGTGCTCTGTCCTCATCTCCCACAGGGAGCACAAGATCATCAGTTTGGAGGAGGCTTTTGGCCAAGCACAGGTAAGAGGCTGCCGGGACAGCGGCTCGGGCATGGATTGCACTAGGAAAACCACGGGGGGCTGCGGCACGGAGAGCTGCCCTCCCGAGTTTCAGAACTGCAGACCCAGCATGGGGTTAAATTCCCATCTTGGGTTTTTATTCTCAGTTTAGTCCCAGGTTCCCTCTGGGCTTGCCCCCGGGATGTAAAATGAGATGTTGTAAACACTTTCTTCCCATCCTGAGGGGAGACTTTGGGCAAACTGGTGGGACCAAGTGCTCGTGGCTTTGGTACACTTCCAAGCCAAAGATCAGCCTGAGCCGCAGTTATGCAAAGAAAATTAATGAGAGAGTAACAGAAAGGAAGCTGCCAGCAGCAGAAGTAGCTTTATGTGTGGCTATTATACATGAACAGTTTTCAGTTTCAAATTGTTGTTCTTGTGCTAGTAATTGAGGCATTTGTTCAGGGATAAAATCTTGCAGTAAACCTTTCTGTATTGATTTGTCCTGAGAGCATGTAGTGAGCAAACCTTTGGCAAGTCTAGCTTAGCCCACGTCTATAAAATTGCTGGTTTCATGCATGTATGTGAGTCCTATCCTGATATCTCCCACTGGTTATATTTGTAGCGTGTTTTTCCCGAAACTCTAAAAGAGGTGAAAAACTACGAAGCTGCACTGGATCGAAACATAGCAAACCTGCTGGAAAAAGCGGAGGAAGTAAAGGTTTGTTCCAAGACCCATATCACTTTGGGGATGGTTGCATGCTGGTAACTGATGAGATAAGGTTTTCTTTTGCCCTTTCCCAGATCATGGATTCTGAAGCTTTTTTTAGATCCTGGGCGGTTTCTAGTGTATTTTTGAGGTTTCTTCTTTGAGGGAGGATGATGAACAACTTTCTTATCAGTCTGGGAGGTACATTCTTAGTTAAGCTTGAAAGTTGTTGTTAAATCCGTGCCTCCTGATGAGTGATTGGGGTGTGGCTTTTTTATTTTTCCAACCTTATTCAATTTTTAGTTACTTCTCTCATCCCAGAAAAGAACAGGCCCTTTTCTGAGTGAGAGCTCGTGTGAAAAATGTCCCTACACAGCCCCTTACAGCTTTGAAAGTGTTTTCTTAATAGGTTAAGGAGGGTCTGCAGTGGCAACGGCTGGAGAGCCTATTCAAAGAGATCAGTTTGCAGCTAGAGAAAAAAAAAAGTGAGATCCTGAAAACTCTCAGTGACTATGAGAACCAACAAATTTCTCGGATTCATATGGAGTTAAAGAACCACAGAGAGCAGAAGCATTCAGCCAGCCATGATCTTCAGGAGCTGGAGGCTCTGACAAATCAGAAAGATACACTTCTTTTCACCAGGGTACCTAACAGCATCCCCCTTCCCAGAGATACACAGCTCTTGGGCTGGCCTGTGCTGGTGCTATGCTAATTCTACTTTCAAAATGTCTTTACAGGCTTTTACAGCAATTCAGGCCAGGTAAGATCGTCCCAAGGTTTAATATTTTTCCTGATGATCTGGACGAGGGGATCGTGTGCACTCTCAGTAAGTTGGGGTGGGAGTGTTGATCTGCTGGAGGGCATGAAGGCTCTGCAGAGGGATCTGGATGGGCTGGATCGACGGGCCGAGGACAACTGCATGAGGTTCAATAAGGCAAAACGCCACGTCCTGCACGAGGGTCACAACAACTCCAGCTACAGGCAGGGGAAAGAGTGGCTGGAAAGCTGCCTGGTGGGAAAGGACCTGGGGGTGCTGGTCAGCAGTGGCTGAACATGAGCCAGCGTGTGCCCAGGTGGACAAGAAGCCAATGGAATCCTGGCCTGTACCAAAAATAGTGTGGCCATGAGGCCCAGGGAAGTGATTGTCCTTCTGCACTGGGCACTGGTGAGGCCACACCTCGAGTGCTGTGTCCACTTCTGGGCCCCTCATGGATAGAAAGACATTGAGGGACTGGAGTGTGTCCAGAGAAGGACAACAGATTTGGGGAAGGGTCTGGAGAGTCAGTCATGTGAGGAGGGGCTGAGGGAGCTGGAGGGGCTCAGCCTGGACAAAAGGAGACTCAGGGAGGACCTTCTCACTCTCTCCAACTCCCTGACAGGAGTGTGGAGCCAGGTGGGAGTTGGGCTCTGCTCCCAGGGAACAAGGGACAGGATGAGAGGACACAATCTCAAGCTGTGCCAAGGGAGATTGAGTTGGACATTGGGAGGAATTTCTTCACAGAAAGGGTGATTAAACATTGGAAGGGGCTGCCCAGGGAGGTGGTGGAGTCACCATCCCTGGAGATGTTCAAGGAACAACTGGGCTTGAGACTCAGTGCTCTGGTCTGGTTGACAAGGTGGGAATGGGTCACAGGTTGGACTCGATGATCTTGGAGGTCTTTTCCAGCCTTAATGATTTTATGATTCTATGGTTCTATGATTCTTTCTGCATGTATTAGGGAACGCAAGCCAGTTCCTATCACGGATGGTGTGAAAGTGCCAAACCCACCTATTGCTTTGGATGAATCAAAAACACGCAATATTCTGTGCCTTTTCCAGCAATTCCTTTCAAAGATGGAGTCTTTATTTAAACCACCACCTGGTAAGTGATCATTTCACTATAGCAAAAGCAAGATGGAAAAGTCAACAAAACATCTTTTTAGGGTTGTAATACAAGACACCAAGTACATGAAGTACCCCTAGAAGTGTTGATTCCTAACTTTGTATGCTTATTTGCATACAAATGCAAATGTGTGTACAGAAAGGGAAACTTGTCCTGGGTTTCAGTGTTTTGGGGCATGCTTTGGATACACCCTGTTAAAACAGGCTCTGGGCAAAGAAGTGTGGAATTTCTAGGAGTTTTCTGTGAGGATTAAGAGGAGATAATAGCAACTCCTCCCCTGTCTGTGGCATGCCTTTGATTCAAGGGGAAAGTTGAGAACTCATCACAGCAGCAGCAGGTGGAGTTTGTTTACAACATAAATACTCTGCTCTTTCTGTGCAAATAATTCTGCTTTTTGGTAATGCTTTGTATGCTCAACCTACAATCCCAGAGCTGTACATGGTGGGGCATTTGTCCAACTGAATCGAAAAAATCAGGGTTCCCTTGTTACTGCTGTCTTGATGGTGCTTCAGCCCTCACTGACAATGAGAGTGAGCTGTGGGTCAAGGCTGAGACAGCTGGGGTTGGAGCGTGTGTGACAGTGAGTGATGTGCACACCTAACTGGCCACCATCTGTCCAGCCTTGGGTACACTAAGAAGCACACTGTGCTAAAACTGAAAGAGCAGCATTTCCCAAAATGTGCTGTCCACCCACCTCAGAATTACATAGGAGCAGCTAAGAGAGTGCAGGTGTTTCAGTTAACATATGTTTGGGGTGGGTTGGATTGGGAAGTCCAGCTTTCATCAGTGCACAATTATCTGTTAATCATAATGTGTTTTTTCTCTTTCTTTATGTTTTAAAGTCGTGCGGTTTTCAACTCCTCACAGCGGTACAGGTGGACCCCAGCATCCACATTACCCACCTAGTTTTTCCTCTGCCCCTGCCTTCTCTTTTGGCTGTAACTCCTTCCAAGGCAGCTCTTCAAATCCTGGTTTTTCCTCTGCCTCTGGCATCTTTGGCTCTAGCTCTTCAAATCCTGGTTTTTCCTCTGCCTCTGGCCTCTTTGGCTCTAGCTCTTCAAATCCTGCTTCTTCCTCTGCCACTGGCCTCTCTGGCTTTAGCTCTGGTGGGTTTGGCTTTAGCTCTGGTGGGTTTTTTTAGAAATTCTGAAAAATTTCTAAAACCTGTGGGTTGAGATAAGAGCAGTTTGATAACTGAAACAAAGCAAAATATAATAATAAAGATACTACTACTAATGATAACAGTAGTAGAAAGGAGCAAAGAGAGTGAAAAAAGCCAACTAAAACAAGTGATGCACAATAAAATTGCTCCCCACCTGCCCACTCCCAGCCAAAACCAGGACAGGACTCAAATATGTGCAGTGCTG